AGATATGATTTTACTGTTATTATAAAGATTACATTATTTAAAATTTAAATAATACAGAAAGGCAAAGATCAAACCACAAATCACCCCAAACCCAGAATCCACAAATAAGGAAGGTTAAAATGTAAACATAATTCCAAACATCTCTATACACATAACTAGAAACTGGATAGAGACATAAGTTTGGAATAAGAATGAGATCATACAGCACAAGTGTCTTAAAAAAGAAGCTTGTCTTAGAACCAGTGAGATTATATTATACACAAACAACACGAAGGGGCTTCAAAAAGTTCATGGAAAAATGGGATTAAAAGATACTGGGATTTTTTCATAAATTTTGTGAAGCCCGTATATACACATACTATATGTTGTTATTGTTGTTAAGTGCCATTGAGTCAGCTCTGATTCATAGTCGCTATGAAAAAAAAAATATATATATATATATATATATACATGTTCATATATATGTATAGATAAAGTGTGTGTGTGTGTGTGTGTGTGTGTGTATAGTTAATTGTCGTGGAGTCAGTTCCAGCCCATAGTGACCCTGTATAGGGTTTCCGAGGAGTGGCTGGTAAGTGTGAACCGCCAACCTTGAGGTTCAAACCCTATATTTACATACACATATATGTAATATAAGGAGCTCTGGTAGTGTAGTGGTTACGAATCGGGCTGTGAACCGCAAGGTTACAATTCGAAACGACCAACTGTTCCGCGGGAGAAAGATGAGGCTTTCTGCTCTCGTAAAGATTTACATCCTCGGAAACCCTGCACAAGGTCGCTATGAGTCGGAACCGACTCCACGGCACATAACAACACATCATGTGTTGTTCAGTGCTGTAGAGTCAGTTCCTCATAGTGATTCTGTCTGTCTAGGGTTTCCAAGGAGCAGCTGATGGGTTTGAACTGCCTATCTTGTGGTTTGCAGTCCAGTGCTAATCACATGTCACACCAGAAGTCCATGTGTGTGTATTGTTGTTGTTTAACGACATCAAGTCAGATCCGACCCATTGCAACCCTGTATAGGGTTCCTGAGGAGCGGCTGATGAGTTTGAAGGTCTTCAGCTGGTTGATTGATGTTATCAAGCCTACAGTATGGAAGGTCATCTGTTTTCAGATGACAAACAAGTTAATCACATATAATTACTTTCCACACTCCTCATCTGTCAGTTTGTTGTACTTTGGTGGTGCGTGCTTTGCTGTAATGCTGGATGCTATGCCAGTGGTATTTCAAATACCAGTATGTTCACCCATGAAAAACAACAGGTTCCAGCAGAGCTTTCAGACAAAAGCAGATTAGAGAGAAGGACCTGGCAATCTACTTTTGAAAAAATAGGCCAGTGAAAATCTTATGAATAGCAGTGGAACTTTGTTGGAAAATAGTGCCAGCAGATAAGCCCCTCAGGTGAGAAGACTGAAAATACAGCTGGGGAAGAGCTGCCCCCTCAGCGTAGAGCTGGATGGAGTAAAGCTTTGGGGACTTTTATTTGCTGATGTGGCACTGTTCAAAACGAGAAGAAGCAGCTTCAAACACCCATTAATAATCGGAATGTGGAATGTACAAAGCGTGAATCTAGGAAAACTGGAAGTCATTCAAAATGAAACCATGCATAAAGATCAATACCCTAGGTGATACTGAGTAAAGTGGTCTGGTATTGGTCATTTTGAATCTACCAATCATAAGGTCTACTATGCCGAGAGTAACAAATCAAAGAGGAGCGGTGTCCAACTCATAATAAAAAACCAACAACAACAACAAAAACATTTCAAGATCTATCCTAAAGCACAACACTGTAAGTAACAGGATAATATTCATACACTTACAAGTCTATACGACTATAACACCAACTACTAAGGTCAAAGATAAACTGACGATTTTTGCTAACTACTGAAATCTGCCACCACTTGTCTGTCAGTTTGCCATGTGTGGTAGCTTGTCTGCTGCTGTGATTCTGAAAGCTATGACACTGATATTTTAAATACCAGCAGGGTCACCCATGGAGGACAGGTTTCAGCTGAGGATCCAAACAAGGACAGGTGAGAAAGAGGGAGAGACAAGTTACTTCTGAATATTTAGTCACTGAAAACCTTATGAACAAAACTGGAGCACTGTCAGATAGCACCAGAATATTGAATATTGAAACATGATGCAGAGCATAGAATATTGTCAGATATGCCAGAAAATGAGTCCCTCAGGTTGGAAGGCACTCAAAATATGACTGGGGAAGAGCTGCCTCCTCAAAGTCTTTGATCCTGATGGCGCAAATGGAGTAAAGCTTTCGGGACCTTCATTTGCTGATGGGGCACAACTCAAAATGAAGAGAAACAGCTGTAAACATCCATTAATAAGCAGAACATGGAATGTACAAAGTATGCATTTAGGAATATTGGAAGTTGTAAAAAATGAAATGGAATACAAAAACATCAATATCCTAGTCATTAGTGAGCTGAAATGGATTGGTATTAGCCATTTTGAATCTGACAACCACATGGTGTACTACGCCAGGAATGACAAATTGAAGAGGAATGGTGTTGCATTCATCCTCAAAAAGGAAATTTCAAGATTTATCTTGAAGTACAACACTGTCATCTGTCATAGGATATCGATACATCTACAAAGGGGAACAGTTAATATAACTAGTAATCAAATTGATGTACTTACCACTAAAGTCAGTGATCCTGAAGTTGAAGAATTCTACCAACTTCTGCAGCCTGAAATAGATAAAGCATGCAATCAAGATGTATTGATAATTCCTGGTGATTGGAATGCAAAGGTTAGAAACAAAACTGAAGGATTAGTATTGGAAAATATGGCCTTGGTGATAGAAATGAAGCTGGAGATCTCATGCTAGAATTTTGCAAGACCAATGACTTGTTTGTTGCAAATATCTCTTTTAAACAACATAAAAGGTGACTATACACATGAATCTCACCAGAAATTAAATTGGTTACAACTGTGGAAAGAGATGGTAGAAAATTTCATATCATCAGCCAAAACAAAGCCAGGGGCAAACTGGGGAGCAGACCATCAATTGCTCATATGCAAGTTCAAGATGAAATTGCAGAAAATTAGAACAAATCCACAAAAGCCACCTAAATTTAGAGATCATCTCAAGAGCATAAATGGTGATTCAGACATTAATGACCAAAGACCAGAAGAGTTGTGGGATGACATCAAGAACATCATCCAGGAAGAAAGCAAAAGGTCATTAAGAAGACAAGTAAGAAGGAAAAGACCAAAACGGATTTCAGAAGAGACTCTGAAACTTGCTCTCCAATGTAGAGATGCTAAAGCAAACAGAAGAAATGAGGAGGTAAAAAAGCCGAATAAAAAATTTCAAAGGTCAGCTCAAGAAGACAAAGTCAAATATTATAATAAAATATGCAAAGACCTGAAGTTAGAAAACCAAAAGGGAAGAACATGCTGAGCATTTCTCAAGCTGAGGGAACTGAAGAAAAAATTCAAGCCTCAACTTGAAATATTGAAGGATGCTGTGGGCAAAATACTGAATGATGCAGAAAGCATCAAAAGAAGATGGAAGGAATACACAGAGTCAGCATAACAAAAAGAAATGGTCAATGTTCAACCATGTCAGGAGGTAGCATATGATCAAGAGACAATGATACTGAAGGAAGAAGTCCAAGGTGCACTGAAGGCATTGGCAAAGAACAAGGCTCCTGGAAATGATGGAATACAAATTGAAATCTTTCATCAAACTGATACAGCACTTGAGACACTCACTCATCTATGCCAGGAAATTTGGAAGACAACTACATGGCCAACTGATTGGAAAAGATCCATATTTGTGCCCATTCCAAGGAGAAGTGACCCAACGGAATGTGGAAATCATTGGGCAATATTATTAATATAGCATTAAAGTAAAATTTTGTTAAAGATAATTTTAAAATGACTGCAACTTAACATTGACTGGGAACTGCCAAAGGTTCAAGCTGGATTCAGACAAGGATATGGAATGAGGAATATAATTGCTGACATCAGATTGATCTTGACTGAAAGCAAAAAAATACCAGAAAGATGTTTACCTGTGCTTTATTGACTATGCAAAGGCGTTCAGTTGTGTGGATCATTACAAACTATGGACAACATTAGGGAAAATGAGTATTCTGGAACACTTAATTGTGCTCATGAGGAACTTGTACACAGACTAATAGGCACTTGTTCGAATAGAACAAGGGAACACTGAATGGTTTAAAGTCGGGAAAGGTATGCTGAGCAAATAATCCGAGAAACTGGATTATAGGAAGAAAAACGTGGAATCAGCATTGGAGGAAGACTCATTAACAACCTCAGATATGCAGATGATACAATCTTACTTGCTGAAAACGAAGAGGACTTAAAATACTTAACTGATGAAGATCATAGACCACAACCTTCGGTTGCACCTCAATGTAAAGGAAACAAAAACCCTCACCACTAGACCAATAAATAATATCAAGATAAATGGAGAAAAGATTGAAGTTGTCAAAGACTTTTATTTGCTTGGATCAATCATCAACACTCACGGAAGCAGCAGTGTATCGTTCTGCTGGCTATTAGTTGAACTGACTTAATGGCACCTAACAACAAGAATTGAAGAGGGTTTCAGAAATGAGAAGCTTTTGTAAGGCACCAAGGCGCGCAGGGGACCCTGATCTGGGACTCAGCTCCGCGGGACAAAAAGGCCTAACAGTGGGCACGGATCTTCGCGGTCCTAGGGGGCGCAAAAGCGAAGTTGCGGCCACTGAGCACTGCCATCGAAACCCTGTACAGGGTCACTTTGAGTCAGAATTGACGAGGGCACTTAACAAGAATCACACCTTCTGTATCTCAGTGTCCTTATCTGCAAATAGGAATAACAGTAATAATTAAGTGATAACTTGTTCAGTATCCCATAGTGAACGTTCAGAAAGGGTTGGGGGTTAATATTCTCTCCTATCAGTTGTGTTCACCGCATCATTTCCTTTTCTCGCCTGCAATTCCTCTTAATTCACCCACTACGCAGAGAGCGAGCCCCGACGGCGCAGAGGAGCAGGACTTGCGGCAGGCGGCCGAGATCTGAGTGCAGGCAGCGAAAGCTCCCGGGAAGAAGCAGAAACTTGCTGTGGGAAGGCACTGGGCACTAGACACTCGGCAGAGTCCCGCGTGTCCTGAGAGGCCCTGACCTGCGCGCAGCCCTGGCTGCCACGCACTCACCTGGGAGTGGAATGGGCGGGGCAGGATGCCGAGATCTGAGAAGGCGGCTCGGGCTTGTGCAGGAAAGGCTGCAGGGCTGGGGCAGAGGAGACCCCTTAGGCAAAATGCATGTTCATTCCTGCTCCTCTGAGGGATTTCTTTGCAGGGCCGGGAGGGCTCTAGAGTCCAAACGTGGGGCGAGAGTTCTAGACCGTACAAAAAAAGGTCACCGGACATAGTTAACCAGGAAACGAGGCGAGGGGCGGGGCAAGGCTGAAGGGAGCTGCCGGGAGCACTTCTGCTGAGAACGGCTCGTTGGTCTAGGGGTATGATTCTCGCTTCGGGTGCGAGAGGTCCCGGGTTCAAATCCCGGACGAGCCCAGGCTTTTTCTATCTAAAATGCAAGTCATTTTGCAATTCGTGCAGTGTATTTAGAGGCTTAAACACAATTATTCCAAACGCGTAAAAGTACTAAGCTGTTTCCTACAATTTTGCAAAGCAAGGGACGTGGTGCATCAGTTAATATAATGTATATTTATTGAACGTCAAAAGGCAAGGCGTTCTTATTGCTTTCTATCGTTTAAAACACTTGCTTGAAACCGTGATGCCATACATGGAATCCTAGCCACCGCTCTCAAGTCTCTAAATTTGAGCAAGTATGCAATGGGTTAGCAGTTTTAGAAATTAAGGTTTCTATGGCAAAGGGGAGCATTTTCCTACTCCAGAAGACTCCCCTAGACTCGCTGTGTAAATGGATTTGTGCACTGGTTTGGACAGATTCAAGCACCGTCTTGTAGCAATGCCGGCTACTAACAACAAAAGTGAAGGGACAGCGAAAAAGAGGAAGACCCCTACAGAGATGGATTGGCTCAGTGGCAGCAGAAATGGGCTCAACCTTAAGGATTGGGAGGACGGTGCAGGACCGAGCAGTGTTTCGTTCTGTTGTGCATAAGGTGGCTATGAGTTGGAACCTATTCGACGGCACCTAACAACAGTTAAAGGCAACCAAGAATGGAAACTCACTACGTCCCTACCCAGGCGCTGGTTCTGGAAATGGACTGAGGTGAGGATATCGTTTTTATAGTAGTACGTATATTGTCAGCAAACGTTTTCTATTTTCACGGTTTTTTAATGTAAAATATGCTGTAATTTTTTTAAAAAAAGGATTCATTTCGAGCTTTATAGTTACTGCCAAGTCATTGAAAAAGAGGGCTCGTCCGGGATTTGAACCCGGGACCTCTCGCACCCTAAGCGAGAATCATACCCCTAGACCAACGAGCCAACATGACTATGTCCCTTCCGCCATGATAAAGGAATGTAGAACTATTTACTCGCGCGCCCCCAAGTGATCATATATTTGTTGTGCTTGCAATTTTCAATTGTTTTTGTATTCTACAAATCTTTTTTTAAGCTTCTATTTATTGTTTGCTCGTTGAAAAACAGTGGCACTGAAGAAAGCAATGGTGAGAAAACTGTAATGCTGCTTATATTTATAACTAATAAATTGCAATTACTATGTTCCTCCAGCAGATTCTGAGTTCTAGGTGCTATATTCATCCTTTCAGCTTTCCAATAAATGTTAAATTGTAGATTTCTAGCCTTTTTTTTTTTTTTTTTAAACTCCTAGCAAAGTCTCACTTTTCCAGCCATGTAAATTCCCATCGCCATGTTATTGCTCAACCTAATTCTTTTTGGACACGTAAATCCTAAACTCTAACCTTTCCAGAAAAGTGGGCTTTAATATATTAAAATAAATTGTACGTGGTATATAAAGGAGCTCTGGTAACGTAGTGATTACGAATCGGGCTGCTAACCTCAAGGTCGGCAGTTCGAAACTACCAGCTCTTCCGCTACTCGGCGGAAGAAGGATGAGGCTTTAGAAACCCTGTGCAGGGTCACTATGAATCGGAACCGACTCCACGGTACTTACAACAACAACAAAATGTGATATATAATACAATTGGTAATGCAATGGATGGTAAGACACCAATACCAACACGGAATTCTACTTTATAACTGACAGCCAATTGTATAATTTCTGGCCAATTCTTCCAACATTTTTAATTCGATAAAGAAGCCATCGTTTCTTTACTATATTTTAAATTCTTAAATACTTCGCTTTGAAGCTGATGCTAGCAACACTGATACTCAATGCCTAGTTGATAAATTCCTACAATTTGTTCCAAATTTCCTATCAATAAAAATTTTGGTACTTGGACAATCAATAATTGTGATCCGTCACTCTAACAAATATCCAACCAGATAGAAAACAAAAGTAAAGAGTGTGACTCTCCTAAACAGACTCGTTCTTTTATTTTTCTTTTGTATTGTGCTTTGCCATTTGTTTATCTATTTATCTATTTTTTCCATTTCAAACATTTTTAAGTGTACAGTTCAGTGACATTAACTACATTCGCAATGGCATGCAACCACTATATTCAAAATGTTTCATCACCTCAAACCCATTAAGCATTATTTCCCATTCACCTCTTCCTACCCATAGTAACATACAGTTTTTCCATTTGTTTTTAGTAAGAATGTGGGTTCTGTTCTGCTCATCAGTGTATAGAATTATTCTCCCATCATTTTACAGTCACCCCATCAGAACTGTCAGTGGTAGTAGCTGGGCACCATCTAGTTCTTCCGGTCTCATGTTAGATGAGGTTGTGACTCTTGCAGATGTTTCTTCTCCGAGCTTTTGGTTACTTCTTAGCATTTTGATTTGACCTGTAGTTGTATCTTAGGTGCTTACTCACAAGCTTTTAAGACCCCAGATGCTAGTCACTTCACTAGGTTACAAACCATGATTTTATTGTGAACTGACTAGTTGTCCATAAGCCTTCAAACCCAGAAAATTAATCTTGGAAGGTGTTGTTATGTCTGAGGCATATTTCTATTTGTGTCTCCAATCAATATATGTGCCTGCATCCACATATTTGTATTTATACCTTCTTACAGATACACAGAACCAGACATTGTTTCTTTCTGTTGTACATAGGGGGTCACTATGAGTCAGCACCTATAGTCAGAACAACAGCAACAACAGGTCCATTGTGGGATAAGCATTGAGCTGCTCCTCAAGAGCAGGAGAAAAATGAGACTGTCTGCTTCCATAAAGATTTATAGTTTTGTAAACCCTTTGTAGGGCTGCTATGAGTCGGGATCAACCATATAGCAGTGGGTATATGTGTGTGTGTGTTTTAAACAGATATCTCACAGAGCCCTGCTGGCAGTGGTTACAAGCGCTCAGCTTCTACCATAAAGGTTGGTGGTTCAAATCCTCCATCTGCCTCATGAGAGCTATTAAGGCAATACGTCTTAGAATCCCTGTGGGGCAGGGCAGTTCTATTCTGTCCTAAAGGGTCATTGTGAGTGTATGAGTTGGAATCTAAGCATAGCAATGGGTTTGGTTTTTGGATTGACCTGTTCTCACCTATGTACACACCTGTACCTACCTGTATAACAACATGCCTGTCCACACATGCCCAAACATTCGTTTATACTTTAATTGTGCTATGCTCACTACAGTCACATTCGGTGCCACGTTTCCTATCACCAAAAATAACAGTCTGAAGCATTCCTTCCCCTTTCCCTTCTCCTCTCCTTGATAACCACCAATGAACACTGAAGTCTCTATATCTATTCTTATCTTCTCATAAAAGAGGGTTCATACAATAATTGTCCTTATTTCACTTAACATTATGCCCTCTAGGGCCATCCATATTATATATAATATGTTTCATGTGTTCATTGTTGTTCTGTATCATTGTGTAGTATTCTATTGTATGCGCTAATATTTACCACAATTTGCTTATCCATTCATCCATTGATGGGCACTTCAGTTGTTTCCATTTAGTTGCTATTGTGAAAAAAGCAGCAATGAATATAAATGTGTGTATAAATTCATTCATTTTTCATTTATTCATTCATTAGACTACTCATTCATTCAACACATTTAACAAGCACTAAGTGCCTGACCCAAGCCATGGTATTTTCAACAGCCGCATATACATGCAAAAGCTGGACAGTGAATAAGGAAGACCGTAGAATAATTGATGCCTTTGAGTTACAGTGTTGGAGGAGAATATTGAAAGTGCCATGGACTGCCAAAAGAACCAATAGATCTGTTTTGGGAAGAAGTACAGCCAGAGTGCTCCTTGGAGGCCAGGATGGCCAAACTTGGTCTCTCATACTTCAGACATATTGTCAGGAGGGACCAGTCGCTGGAGAAGGATATCATGTTTGGTAGGGTGGAGGGTCAGAGAAAAAGAGGAAGACTCCCAATGAGATGGATTAGCCAGATGGCAGCATCGATGGACTTATGCATGACAACAGTAGTAAGGTTGGCCCAGGATCGGGCAGTGTTTTGTTCTGCTGTGCATAAGGTTGCTATGGGTCGGTACCAACTTGATGGCACCTAACAACAACAACAAGTATAAGGAGTCCTGGTTGGCACTGTAGGATAAGCACTGGACTGTTAACTGAAAGTCTGGTGGTTTAAACCCACCAACTGCTTCTTGGAAACCCTACACATGATTGCTATGAATTGGAACTGACTCCACAGCACTTAACAATAGGTGCCAAGGTGTTGTACTGCTGGTGTACTGGTTGAGCGCTCTACTGCTGGCTGAAAATTTTGTGGTTCCTGCTTTCATAAAGATTGTTATTGGTAAGTGTCATGGAATCAGTTCTGACTCCTAACTCATAATGACCCATGACAGCAAAAGGAAACACTGCCTGGTCTTGTGCCATCCTCACAATCACTCTTATATGTGAGCCCACTGTGGCAGCCACTGTGTCACTCCATCTCATTGAGGGCCTTCCTTTATGTTACCACACAGTTCTACTCTGCCCCATCATGCTAGACATATTCTTCCTGCGACTTGA